CTCGCGGCCGTCCTCCATTTTGTGCACGTGGCGGGCTCTGATTCCTGTGCGGTCGCCGCTACGGCGGCCGACGCCGCCGGTCCTTCCCGCCTGGGACGACAGCCGCGCCTCCGCCGCGGCCTGGCCGACGCTGGGTTGACGGGGCTCGGCGACGTGCCAGCGCCAGCGCCAGGGCTCGCGTCCGTGCATGCCTCGTCCTCGCCCTCGGCCTGCACATCGCTCGACTCGTAGTGCTGGGTGCCGAGGGTCGCCTTCACATCCGGGTCGCGTAGTGCCAGGGCAGGTTGGATGGCCCGGAGCCGGCGTCCTCATCGCCAGCTTGTCTGCAGCCCAGCCCCAAATCACGTCTGCGCCGACGCGTGCCGCGGCGGCGACAGCGCCCGCGATGCCGTGCCTCGCAGCGCCCCCCGCTGCCGCGCCTTCGGCCACCGCTCGGACCAGTGGCGCAAGGGCGGCAGCAGCGTCCAGCGCCGCGACTGCCATGGATGCCCGAACAGTGCTAAGCTCTAACGGGCGGACTGAGGAAGAAATTGCCCGAACAGCGCGCAGCTCGAACGGGGAAATCGCTGCCACCCCAGCGTGGCTCCTTGAGACAAAATGGGTACGAATGATGATGATGATGATGATGATGATGATGATGATGATGATGATGATGACGGTGGTGATGATGATCACGATGCTGTTGGTGATGCTGATGATGCTGATGATGCTTATGATGCTGATGCTGATAATATTGCTGATGCTGATTACGATGATGGTGATGATGCTGGTGATGATGATGCTGATGATGATGATGGTGATGATGGTGATGATGATGATGGTGGTGGTGGTGGTGATGATGCTGGTGATGACGATGATGGTGATGATGCTGCTGCTGATATGAGGATGCTGATGATTACACTGACGATGTTGATGATTACACTGATGATGATGATGATGACGATGATGATGCTGTTTACGATTATGACGATGATGCTAATGCTGATGCTGATGTAGATGATGCTGATGACGATGTTGATGGTGTTGACGATGGTGATTGTGGTGATGACGATGCTGATTTTGAAGATGCTGATGCTGATGTTGTTGATGATGATTGTGATGATGCTGATGGTGGTGATGCTGATGGTGATGATGCTGTTGCTTTTGATGTTGCTCATGCTGATGATGTTGATGATGCTGAGTAGGACTCGGATTATGCTGATGACGACGATGCTGCTGCTGATGATGAATACTGCTTATGAAGATGCTGCTGATGCTGATGCTGATGCTGCTGCTGATGATGATGATGATGATGATGACGATGCTGATGATGCTGATTATGATGCTGATGCTGCTGATGATAGTGATGAGTATGATGAAGGAGATTTTGCTGCTGATGATGATGCTGATGATGATGCTGATGCTGCTGCTGATGAATCATGATGATGGTGACGACGGTAACGACGATTCTGATGATACTGATGATGCTGATGATTGATGATTGATGTTTGATGATGACTTTGATTATGATGATGATGCTGATGATGATGATGATGGTGATGATGAGGATGATGATGACTATGACGATGATGCTGCTGACTACACTGATGATGATCCTGATGCTGATGCTGATGCTGCTGCTTTTGCTGATGATTATGGTGATGATGCTGGTGACGATGATGATGCTGATGATGCTGATGCTGATGCTGATGACGATGATGATGCTGATGATGCTGATGCTGCTGATGGTGCTGATGCTGATGATGATGATGCTGATGCTGATGACGATGTTGATGGTGAGTTAACTGATGAACGTGGTCATGGTCTCATGATGGTGGCGGTGGTTGTTGTGATGGTGGTGGTAGGGATGAGCTTCATTGTGATGCTAATGAGAGTGAGGGAGATGGGGCGGATGCTGAGGCAGGGGGATGAGGAGGGTAGGGCGAAGGGCGGTAGAGGTGGAATCTGAGATTGATATCGATTGGCAGGAGGGGAAAGAGCAGGCGGTGGCGAATAATGGAAAGCATGACATCGAGGGGGCGGAGGAGCAGGAGGAGGAACGTGAAAAGGAAGGGAGGGAACAGGAGGGCTGAACTAGCGAAGGGCAGATTTCCACTATGTCAGCGTTCTAGCCCCGCCTTTGGCCCTGGCGTGCGCTGATAGACCTGTCAGATTTGGACGTGCGACCGTCGCCGAGCTCTGTATGCGTCTTATGATATGTCGTGGTACGTTGCGCCATGTATGCAATGTAACGCACGCCTCAAGGCGTGATGCCACGGCAAGCATCCGATGTGCCATCGTTATAATTACTTGTCGTGCGTACCACTGCTTATTTTTCACTTGGGTGGATATGCACGCTGTGTTATGCGAGTGCACTCCTTGCCATGCAATGCCATATGTACCATGCTACGCTATACCAGTTTGTGATATCATTGGCCAGGCTGCACAATTCCACGCTGACGTGGCATAATATGTCATTGCCTTATCAGGCTCATCAGCTTTTGCGTGATACATGCCGACCCGTCCTCCCCTAACAACGTACAGCTTAACCATTCTTTGCTTGCGTGCAGCAGAATCTAGCTTGTCTGTTTCACATGCATCTTCAAGTTCTTGCCAGGTAGAACTCGTACCAGCCGAGGAGGTCGTAAGGGCAATGGTGCTGAGAGCATCCCAGATATCCTTCGAGTTCTACCACTTTTCTGAATAACCGGCCGGATTTCTCAGGCTATCATGAGGACGTTGGACGGGTATCCGAAGGATCCACACAGTTTTCCAAAGCGATCCAAACCAGCAGCGATCACATCCAAACATGTCCCTATTGTTTTAAATCAGATCTCGGATGCAGTACATCGTAGCCCTCACGTAGAAATAATATTGAACGCTGCGAAGGCGGGTCATAGGGTAAATGCAGTCCCGCACAGTCCTCGTTGGGCCATCCTGTCAAGCGTTGGATTCGGAGTGCACTGCGGCTACGGTCCACCATAGGTCTTGGTGATTCCTCCTGGATACGACCGCCAAGACCCTCAGGTGCTGATGTTCTTTTGCAGATGCTCCAGAGGTTGAGATATCAGATGGCATTCTATGCCTTTCCGTATGGCACGCAGCGAGGGGGAAGCGAAAAGGAGACGGCCTTGTCAGAAGGCGGCGGGGCTTCTCAGAAGCCCCAGCGCCTTTGAGAGATTTCCTCTGTCTTCGGAGAATGCTCATAACACTTCTCAGAAGGCCGAAGGCCTTCTGAGCCTTCTGAGAAAGCCCGCCTCTCCTCACTTCCCCCCGGGCTCGCCTCCGAGTATCATGTGATGCTAAGTTGTCCGTATGGAAGTTGCCATGCCGCCGCGTACGCTTAGCCGCACGGTACGTATGGTGCAGTGGACCCCCGCGCGTGCCCGCCCATTTCCCCCTGCGGCCGGGTGGAGGTGGCCGTTGGTGCCGGAGGCTGCGCGCGCAGAGGGGTGGGACCCGTCTGGCCTGCGGGGTCATTCGTCGGGGGGAAAGAGGGCGAGGAGGAAAAGGAGGAGGAGGAGGAGCAGGAGCAGGATCAGGAGGAGGAGAAAGAGGAGGGGAGGATTGAGAGAGTGGGTGTGCCTTGTCGCGAGGAGGAGCAGGAGGAGGAGGAGGAGGAGGAGGAGGAGGAGGAGGAGGAGCAGGAGGAGGAGCAGGAGGAGGAGCAGGAGGAAGAGCGGCCTGGAGGAGGAGGAGGGGGACCAGGAACGAGTAACGAGAAGTGGGGAGGATGACAATTTTTCACGCTCAGCGTATAGCCACCAGCTCCTGACCATTTCGCCGCTGAGCGCCGCTTCCGCTTGGTGGCCCCGTCATTTTTCCGCGTTCGCCCGGCGACAGTTGCGCTGTGCTCTTGCACTGGCCTGCGCTCTTCGCACGACTTCACGACGCCGCGCAGCTGTCCGCTTGCGGTTGCGAACAAAAAGGTATGCCCAGCTCGCAGCCTCGGCATCACTTTGCTGCCGCCGGTACCCACCCCGGTCTCCGACGACTCCTCGGGTCGTCGCATCCGGCGCTGGCGGCCCCGCTCTGGCGCGTGTGGCCTCTGGGTTCCCTCGGCCCCTCGCGCCTTCGCCCCCGTCTGGCTGGGGTTCCTCGTCCGGCCTCTTCGGCGGCAGGGCTGGTTCAACCAGTGAATGTAAGCCGCCTGCTTCCCGCGAGAGACGGGCGCCGAGCCGCGCTCGTAGCGCGGACGAGGAGGAGGAGGACAATGACGACGCCCACGACAGGAGTCAACCATGAAGGCCTCCGTCGATCTATTGCTGGAGCCAGCCTCTTGCTTGCTTCCTGAAGGCCTCTGGCACGCCTGTTGAAGCCATCCTGGGCCCCCCTTGGGGCAATTGTGGGGCGTTCGTGGCCCTTTTGGGGCTCTTTCGGGGGCCTTGGGGGTCTCTTGGGGCCATCTTCGAGGGTATAGATGACCGAAGGGAGGTCCCCGATTAGCTCCGCACCTCTTGAGCTCGAACAGTCGCCTCTCGGGGCCCTCCCTTTTGGGGCGCTCTTGGAGGCCATCCTGAGGCCTCAGAAGGTAATCGGAAGCGAAAGGGAGAGAAGGCAACAACCATTGGCCCCCACAGGTTTTGATTTTTGTTTTGCCTCTTGGGGGCGTCCTTGGGAGGCTCCGTGGCCACTTGGAGACGTCTCAATGTGTTCTTCGGGTGTTTTGGGATCATTCTAGAGGCCATCTGAAACAATCTTGCATTACATTGTGCCATCATGGAGGCCATCCGTATTGTATTATTTTGGACGATCTCCGCAATGGGCACCAACGGAATGTTGGGGCCGCCTTCGTGTTTGATTGCGATGATCTTCGATGCAACGAGGTCGTATCATGGATTCGCTTCTGCCATCCTCTCGTCCACTCCCGCCTGTGCCCCAGCCTCGCTCCGACGGTGCCACTTGCTCCCCACGCCTCCCGTTCTGTTGTTGCTTCCGCTGCTGTTGCCCCTTCCCCTCCTCCTCCCGCCGTCCATCCTGCGCCCCCCCTCCCTCTGCTGCGGCTCCTGCCGATGCTCCTCCCTTGCCCGCAGGCCTCCTACCAGTCTCCGCTCGCACGTGCAGCAGCCGCGGCGGGCGCACTGGTGGACTCGCGAAAAGGCGGCCTCTGTAGCCCTCCGCCCGGGGAAGAGAAGGGGATACCCAGTTGCCTGCGGCATGCCCCGCCGCCGCGTCAGTCTGCTGCCAGCTAAGCCGAGACGCATCTGAGTGACGCGACGTCTCACCCGACAGGTCAGTACGTGTGCTGCATCTGGCAGAGCATGCGGAGGTAAGGGCATGAACGATCGAACAAACAGCTCTTCTGGCACTTTGGGGCTTGCTCGGAGCCGCCTTGGAAGGAATCGTCTTGAAGGTTGGCTGGGGACCTCTGGGGCCATCGTGGAAACCTGCTGGGGCATCTTGGGCCGTCTGGAGGTCTCTTGAAGGCTCCTGGACCCCCCCGAAGCAGTTGGAGCCGGTCGTGGGGCCCTCGAAAGTCAGGGGGGGTGGCTTTCGGAATTCTGGGGGCTCTCTGGGCTTGTCGGGGTCGTCTTGGCGCCCCTTGGGGAGTCTCGAGGCCGTCTGAGAAGTCCTGGGCTCGTCTTGGGACTGCCGTGGGCCGTCTTCGAGCCGTCTTTGGGGCCATGTTGGAGGTGGGCTGGGGACCTGTGTCCATCTGGGAGCCATCTTGGGGGGCATCTGGGGCCATCTGGGAGTCTTTGGGAACCCTTTGGGTCCTCTTGAAGCCTCTGGGGGCCGTCTTGGAGCCACCAGCAGCCCCACATCGAACACACAATACAACAATTTGATGCATACGATGAGTTGTTTTGTTGTTTCCTCTCGGAGCCCTTCGCGGGGCTGTTTCTCAGTCCCTCGCAGTTTGTGGGGGGCGTCGTTGCGCTCTCGGAGGGCCCTCTCGGGGCCGTCTTCGGCTCGTCGGAGCGGGCACCGAGATGCTGGCAGGTCCCTCGAAGCGGGGGGATCCCCGAAGAAGGCAGAAGAGCAAGCGCGGTGGCGACGGGTGACGACGGACATCAATCTCACCGCGCCATCCGGGCGCGCTTCGGCCACCCGTGGGCCAGAGTTGACAGGGCGGGGGAGGGGAGAGCAACCGATGCAGATCCACCTCGTCCTCCCCCCTCCCCTCCCCCAGACATGAGGAACACATTCAGAGGAGGAGGAGGAGGAGGAGGAGGAGGAGGAGGAGGAGGAGAAGGAGGAGGTGGAGGGACGAGGAAGGAGGTGGATCTGTATAAACGTTCGATTCCCAGGTGGGAGAGGGGAGGAGAGGGAGGAGGAAGAGCAGGAGGGGAAGGGAGGGCGTATCTCCAGGGAGTGGGCGGGGCGGGGGCGGGGTGTCTGCGGGGCGCAGTCTCCAGAAGGCACGTCGGCCCTGCACGGGAGCTGGCGACCCCCGGCAGCACAGCCTGGCACTGCGGCGCGCGCCACGCGCCGCAGGCGCGGTGGCGGATCCTGCTCCCGCCCAGGCAGGGGCAGGGGAAAACATGGCAGTGGGAGGGACGCGACGGCACAGCGGGGCAGGTGGGGACAGAGAGGACAGCTGGGGGAGGAAGGGGATCGCCGAGTCTCCGCCCATAGCATCCCTCATCTCAGTCGCTGCAGTCTCTGCCTGGGGGGGCCAATAAATGGAGGCTGGGCGATGCCACCTGATCAATTGGCCGCGGGAAAAGTTCTGGATGGGCAAGTCTCTGAATGCATCGCGCAGTGGGGTGATGATGGAACGCCTTGCACCTTGAAGGCATTTCTTCTCCTCAGTTCATCGTGCTTACGGGGCATACCTGCGTACACGCAAGTAGGCAGATGTTGCACATGCGCGAATGTACTGAATTGCGTTGCAGTGCATCGCATTGCGCTGTATTGCGCTGCTCACTCCCTACGCTGCGCGTGTCCATAATGTCTCTGTGGTGGAAGTACCTGCGTGCGCCGCGCACGCACGTGGACTGTTCGCTCCGGACCGTCGTCCGTTCTGGATCGACAGGCTTCTGCCCGCGCTGCTCCCTCCCCAGGCGGCGCTGGCGGCTCCTGCTGCCGAGCCACCGGTGCCCGCGGCACCCGCGCGACGTCCCGCGCGGCGATGCACGAGCTGCAGGCGCCTTCCGCGGCAGCCCCTCCGCTGCGCCTGCCGCCCGCGTGCTCTGCCCCGTGCCAGCCCCGGCCGCCACCCCTGTGGTGTCTCTGCCCCTGGCTCGCCTCCCTCCTCCTGCCCCTCCTCCTCCTCCTCCTCCTCCTCCTCCTCCTCCTCCTCCTCCTCCTCCTCCTCCTCCTCCTCCTCCTCCTCCCCTTCCTCCCCCTCCTCCTCCTCCTCCTCCTCCTCCTCCTCCTCCTCCTCCTCCTCCTCCTCCTCCTCCTCCTCCTCTCTGAGCACCCGGAAGCGTCGGCTTCGGTGTGCGCTGATACCGAAGATCGTCGGCGAGCGAAGGGGGGGATTTAGAAGGAGGAGGCCTTCTCAGAAGGTGGCGGGGCTGCTCAGAAGCCCTCTGGCCTTCCGACAAGTCTTCCGTGTCTCCGGCGGAGGCTCAGAGAACTTCTCGGAAGGCCCGAGGATTTCCGAGCCCTCTGGGAAGGCCCGCCCCCTCCTCGCTTCCCACCGAGAGGAGCTGGCCAGAGGTCGACGTCCTCCTCCGCAGAGAGGGCGCCCTTCTGCGCCTGCCTGCCTCCGCCTCCGCTCTTGGGGGCCTGCATGCCTCGGGGCCGAGCGCTCGGTCCTACCCCCTGCCGCTCTCCTACGCCATCCCTCCCCGCGCCCTCCCTCGCCCATGGTTGTCGTCGAGGTGCGCGAGGGGAGGGTGCTCCCGGGCCGAGTCAGGAGGAGAAAGGGGAGGAACACGACGGGAAGCACGAGAAGGAGTAACAGACGAGGAGGAGGGGGAGGAGGAGGAGGAGGAGGAGGAGGAGGAGGAGGGGGAGGGGGAGGGAGGAGGAGGAGGGGGAGGAGGAGGAGGAGGAGGAGGAGGAGGAGGAGGAGGAGGAGGAGGAGGAGGGGAGGAGGAGGAGGAGGAGGAGGAGGAGGAGGAGGAGGAGGAGGAGGAGGGGAGGAGGAGGACGAGGAGGGGGAGGAGGAGGAGGGAGGAGGGAGGCTCGTCGTCGAAGTGTCGGCGCTGGTCTCCTGTCTCAGTCTGCTGGTCTGCGTCTCAGCTCTGCTCCTGCGGGCTGCGCTCCGCTCCGCGGGCGGGCTCTCGCCCCTGACGCTCCTGGGGCCCCAGTCGATCTCGGATCGCGGCCTCCCGCGCGCCTTGGGGAGCCCTGCCCGCAGTGCTCAGGCGGGGTCCCAGGCAACCTCCCGCAGCTTCGTGGACCTCCGAGCTCACCACCCACCAGACCACCCCAACCCACCCCGAAGGCCTCAAGTCGGGGGTCGGGGAACATGGAACACGGATGGAACCCGTACCCCCCCAAACCCGGAGTTCGGGTCTTCGGGTTGCGTTGGGGTGATCTGGTAGGTAGTCACGAGCATTCTCGAGGACCTCGAGAACCCTCACCGCGCCGCCAGCCGCCAGTGTTTGGCGCATGACGTCGTCCCTGTCCTCGATCCAGTCGAGACAACCGAGCCTTGCGATGTGAGCACGTCGACTGAGTTTTTGTCAATACTGGGCTAACGTTCCGTCCCTTGCGATTTTCGTTTGAGCCAAACTACTGCCGATGTGCATGTAGACGAGTATGCAAGCATCGCCCGAGCACATGTGCAAGGACTCATGATGAACAAAGGCGTGCCCCAGCCCTACCTGCCTCAGCTCGGACTTCCAAGCTTGGGGATATAGCAGCCTGGGTTTCCAGTCAGTTTCCCCTCTGACACCTCGCGGGGCGCCCTGTCCAGGTCCAGGGGTATGGGGTAGGGGGAGGGATCAAGACGGCCTCCCCGCCCGCAAGCTGTCTCCCTCACTCCCACCCGCCCTCCCAACACATAAGTAGCACCCGAGCCTCAGCGTGTTCAATGGTCGTCTATGGATGGACAGTTACTGTGAACCAAAACATATTCCATCTGTGCGATGCTGTGGCGAGGTGCGCCACGCTTGCCAAGCGCGCCACGCGCGCCAGGCACCCCTGGGGCCCAAGCGTGCCATCACGCCTGGCGTGCCGGATGTGCCACGTGTTCCACGTGCGCCATTTGTGTGACGCGTGCTCCAGCCGCGCCAGGTGCACCACGTTCGGGGCACGCGCAGGGTGTGCTAGGTGCGCCCGCGCACGTGACAGCACACATCGGGAAACATGTCGGCCCCCACCGTCCTTGTCGAAAGCCAGTGTGCAATCGCGGCGGGCTGGCCATCATGGTGTCTGGTGAGCTTACACACAGCAGGCAAGATGCCAGCACCCCCGCCGTCCTTATCAAACGCTAATCCAGATTTAGCCGCGAAGTGCTTTCTTGATTGTTTTTGACACGGATGGTGGCCCTGCGCGCAGCAGGCAATATGGTACCCCTCCGCCGTCTTTGTCAAAAAGCAGCACAGAGTGCTCACGGGGGCCACGCGCATGACCTAGTAAGTCGCCCCAAAGTGTATTTGGTATTATTGTTTTTGGACGGGGATGGTGGGGTGGGGAATGTCATTGTATCTGGTTAGCTGCCGGTCGCTTGGGGGAGGGGGGTGTTTCTTAATAGGGCACACTGATAAACCTTTCCCGAAGGGGAAGAAGGGGGGTTGGAACAGTTTTTTGATCCGCGGGTCGAGAGCGAGCCTCTTCCGGTCGAAGCTAAGCGGGCCGCACACAGCTTTAATTACTAAAGGGGGGGGGGCAGAAGGAGGGGCCTCACGTCAAGGCCAGGAGGGGGCAAAGCCCCGGAATCAGGCGGTGCGGGGGGTTGGAACAGGAACCCTCCTGAAGCACTCACGCCCTAGAGGGCTGGTGGGACTCCAGCCTGGGCTTCCAGCCAGCCTGTCCAAGGATCGGGATTGGGGGAGGAGGCGAGGACCCTCCTCTTGTTCCTCCTCCTCCTCCTGGAGGGTTTCTCCGAAGGGCTTAGGCGACAGGTCCTCCTCCTCCTCCTCCTCCTCCTCCTCCTTTCGGGGAAACCTAAGACTCGAGTAAGCCGGAACTCGGGTTCGCCGACGTTTTTTGACGAGCGCGTCATGGATTTTGACGATCCAGTTTTCGTGGGATGTTTGCAGCGGGAGCTCGCGTCAAATTTCAGAGTGGGCCTCGTCATTTTTTTGATGGCTCCGTTTGGCCAACCCGAGTCCCCCGTACCCGAGTCTTACGTTTCCTCCCTCCTCCTCTCCTCCTCCTCCTCCTCCTCCGCCTCCTCCTGCTCGTCCTCCTCCTCCCCCTCCCCCTCCCCCTCCTCCTCCTCCTCCTCCTCCTCCTCCTCCTCCTCCTCCTCCTCCTGCTCCTGCTCCTCGTCGTCCTCCTCCACCTCCTCCTCCTCCTCCTACGAGCTACCAGCTACGAGCTACGAGCTGCGGACTGTTCCAGCTCGTCCGAGCCCGGAGCCCTCGACCCCCCGGCCCCGCAGACGTTGGCGGTCGGGGGGGGGGGGTATAAACGTGGGCCGCTTGCGGCCGATGGTGGGGCCGCCGAGGGGGACGAGGTGGAGACGACACGAGGGCGGACCGAAAAGAGAGGCGAGCGGGGAACCGAAAGGAGAGGCGAGGACCTCCTCCGCCTCCTCGGGGAAGGATCGAGGAGGAGGAGGAGGACGAAGAGGAGGAATAGGAAGAGGCCTCCTCCTCCTCTTCCTCCTCCTGATTCTCCTCGACCTCCAAGGCCTCCTCCTCCTCCTCGACCTCCAAGGCCTCCTCCTCCTCCTCCTCCTCCTCCTTCTCCTCCTCCTCTTCCTCCTCTTTGACCATCAAGGCCTCCTCCTCCTCGACCTCCAAGGCCTCCTCCTCCTCCTCCTCCTCCTCCTCCTCGACCTCTCGGCGCAGGCGCGCGACCCGGATGCACTCCCGCGCCTGGGGCTGCAGCCAGAGGCGCTGCCGTTCGTGGCCAAGGGCCCCGCGGTCACGGGGCCCCGTGGCAGTCGCGCGAGGCCGCGGGAGGCGCCGCCGTGCATGCTGCAGTGAGCGCTGAGCTCGGCAACGCGCCTCTCCTCCTCCTCCTCCTCCTCCACCACCCCTCCTCCTCCTCCCCTCCTCCCTCGTCCTCCCTCCTCCTTCGTCGTCCCCTCCTCCTCCTTTCTCCCTCCCTCGTCCTCGTCCTCCTCCTCCTCCTCCTCCTCGTCGTCCTTTTCCTTCCCTCCACCTCCTCCTCCCTCCCTCTTCTCCTCTCTCTCTCACCTCCTCTCCTCCTCCTGCTCCTCCTCCCCTCCTGCTCCTCCTCCTCCCTCTCCGTACCTTCCTTCCTTTCCTTCCTCTCCTCCTCCTCCTCTCTCCTCCTCCTCCAATCTCCTCCTCATCCTCCTCCCCTCCTCCACCTCCTCGTCCTCGCCTCGTCCTCCCTCGTCCGTCGATGTCGTCGCTCCGCCCTCCTCCTCCTCCTCCTCCACCTCCTCGTCCTCCTCCTCCTCCTCATTCTCCTCCTCCTCCCCCCCTCTCTCCTCCTCAACCTCCTCCCTCCGCCTCCCTCTTCTCCTCCTCCTCCTCCCCCTCCTCCTCCTCCTCGTCCTCCTCCTTCTCCTCCTTCTCCTTCTCGCGCCTTCCATCGCTCGGGACCTTCTCCTCCTCGTCCTCCTCCTTCTCGTCCTCTTCCTCCTCTTATTTTCTCTCCTTCTCCTCCTCCTTCTCCTCCTCTCTCCTCCTCATTCCTCTTCTCCGTTCTCTTCCTTCCTCCTCCTCATTTCTCCTCTCTTCCGCTCTCATCTGTCCTCCTCATTCCTTCTCATTCCTCCTCATTCTTCCTCTCCTCCGTTCTCCTCCCTCCTGCTCCTTGTCCTTTTCCTCCTCCTCCTCCCCCTCCTCATCCTCCTCCTTCGCGTCAGTGCTGAGCTCGGCAACGCGCCCCTCTGAGGCACGCGCAGAGGGGGGGAAGGGGATGGAGGAGGGCTTCTCAGAAGCACACGTGCTTCTTAGAAGGCGCGGGCCTTGTCTGTAGTTGTAGGGCTGGCGCCTTCTGAGAAACAGCCTCATTCTAAGAAGCCTTTCCCCTTCCCCTACCCCCTTGTGCGCGCCGCTAACCTCCTCCCGTGCCCCTCCCGTCCGTTGGAGGCATCTGTGCACCACGATGCCTGGCCAGGGCCGTTTTGGGCCCTGGGATGGTGTAGTGACCCTTTTTGCCTCAGTCAGGAGGGCGTATACACCATGCTGGAATTCAGGATAGCCATGGGCAGGCATGGTGGTGGTGTACTGGTAGGTGCCTTCTGCGTCGACATCCTGACTGTCCACGTCGCCCTAGTGATCCCGCTTGCGCTATCACGCCCCCTATCGCCCGTGTATTTCTTCATCCAGCGCCGCGCCCCACCTTCTCTTCCTCCTCCTCCGCCTCCTACGCTTTCCTCCCCTCTCCCCTCCCCCTCCTGCCCTCGCTCATTTCGGTGCAACCCTCACCAGAACTGTGGCCCCATCAAGCACTCCGCACGCGGTCTCCGTGGTCCTGTCCGCTTGCGGGTCCGCGCCGCGTTCGGCACGCTCCTCGTCCGGATCAGGGCCTCACGGGGGGAGCTCCACCCTGCGGTCTCGAGCCGGCCCGCGCCCATTCCAGCATACCCTCACGAGGATCGTGACCTCACAGGGAGCACCACCTACGGTTTCGGCAGGCCCGTCCGCATGCGAGCGCGCCCATTTCGGCACACCCCTCACGAAGATCGTGGCTCCATAGGGGGCTCCACCTGCGGTTCCAGCTGGCGCGGCCGCATGCGGGCCAGCGCCTAGTTCGGCACATCCTTCACGCGGATCGTGGCCCCATAGGGAGCTTCACTTAGGGTGAGGAGGAGGAGGAGGAGGAGGAGGAGGAGGAGGAGGAACCCTTCACGACGGGGATCGTGGCCCAACAGGGAGCCTCACCTGCGGTCTTCGTGGGCTCCTCTGCGTGTGGGGGGCGTCGCCCGCCTCCGAGGAGGGGAAAAACACAGACACAAGTAATCGTCGACTCCCACGAACATATGGGAAAATATGGGAAGTGGGGGGGAAGACAAACACACAGAAAAAATGTGGGAAAGCATGGGGAATCCTGTTATCTGTGTGTATTTATTTGCGTGTCCCAGGGCCCCTTCAACCTCGGCAGTCCACCCACGCGGATTGCGGGGTCGATCGGAGCTCCACATACGGTCTCAGTGAGCACGGCACGGCACCCATTTCGCTCATTTCCCAGCTTCCACGAGGTCCATCCTTCTCGCGGCGCGCAGGCCATGAGGACAGTGTCATATCTTGTGCTACACGCAGCTGTGGGAGGTTGGATCCCTCGCAAGGCCACTTTTGTATGAAATCGTGCCCGTGGTGCTCTTTCACTACTCCTTCATGTTTTCCCTATCTCTCTCTATGAATATTAGTACATACATACGTACAGGTCCCTGAATCCTTCCAGTCTTACGGCCTCTCTTTGCCCGTCTGCCCGATATTTTGTTATCAGATATTTTCTCCTCCGCTCTTTTCTTTTGCGTGCCTACCTGTAACATATTTCAATGATTTCCTTCTCTCTGTGTGCGCGTTTTGTTGTTGTTTTATGTTTTCCCTGTTATACATGGTATATACATACATATGTACATGTTTTGTACATATAGATAGATACCTGGAGCGCAACACACGGATTCATGTCTCTTCTTTTCTTCCATCTCGGCATCCTGGACTCTCTCGGGCCGTCTTCGAGGCCATCTTGGACCATCTTGGGCGAATTTGGAGGCCATCTTGGGCCATCTTGGCCATCTTGGAGGCCATCTTGGAGCCGTCTGGAGCCGAAAACCCTTTGCAACCACCTGTTATGCATCTTTGCGCGCCCTTCCGGGTGGCCGGCGGGATCGGCCGAAGCCCCAGGGGGAGTTCTTTTGGAAAAAGAACAAAACCAAAAGCGATTCCGCACGCCGGGCACCACTGTGGCAAGCCAACAGGGGGCGCCGGATCTGGTGGCCTTACCCCCATCCCGCCACCATGCCTGGGTTGTGGGTCAGAGTTCTCAGGGATGCTTCTTGGGTCTCTTCGGGGCGCTCTCGGGGGCCTTTTGGGAGCGGTTATGGGGACTCTAGGGAGCCTTTCATAAGGGGCCTCTCGTGAGCCTCTTGGGGCCTCTTGAGAGCCTCTTGGGGCCTCTTGGCGGCCTCTCGAGGGTCTGTTGGGGCCTCGTGGAGGGCCCTCGGGGCCGTGGGCTCGAAATGTCCGTTCGGGTTCCCCATCTGAGCCCCCTCTTCGGGCCGTCTTTGGGCCCTCAGTATATATATATATATATGTATATATACATACATATATATATATATATATATATATATATATATCTATATATCTATACCTATATACACATACACATACTTTTATACACGCAGCTCCACCCCAGCACCCACTAATTGTCCGTAGATCTTCGAGCTGTTCACTCCAACCCTTACTGATTGTCGTCCCTCTTCCTGCTTCCCCCTTCGCCGTCCCAATCCCCCCCCATCGCACTCCCTACGCGCATCTCTCTCTCTCTCTCTCTCTTCCTTTTTTTTTGTTGTTTCTCTCTCTCTTTCTCTATTCCTTCCTGCCTCTCTTACCGTGCTGCCTTCGTGGCACCTCTTGGCTCAAGTTGCCCAGTGCTTGCCATCAATCCCAAGCATCGCAGTGAACTTACGGGGTTCGCAACTTCAGGGAAGCCCAAACCCTGTTCTTTCAGTGGGATGCTTGGAATTTCTGGGGTGCTAATTCCAGGAGCCCTGTTATTTCACTGGGGTGGTCATGGACGCCCAAACACTGTTATTTCATTGGGGTGCTTAGGATTTCTGGGGTGCTGAAACCAGAAACCCTGTTATTGCGAAGGCCTTGCGGCCGGCGCCGCTGACCCTGAGGGGGGACGACGATGACAACGTCGCAGTGGCGGCGATGACGATGACGACGACGACGACGCCGACGTGGGCCAGAGTCCGCAGGGATGCTTCTTGGGATTTCTTTGGAAGGCTCTCGGGTGCCTCTGAGGAGGAATTTTGAGGCCACTTGTTATTTCGCTGGGGTGCTTGGGGTTCCCAGCATTTCTGGGATTCAGAACGTTGGTGGGGTCCACGGTAGTTTTTTGTCGCAGGGAAGAAAATTCCCAGGAATCCCAAGGACCCCAGTGAAATAGCACGGTTTCTGGGATCAGCCTCCCAGAAATCCCAAGCAGCCCACTGAATTCACAGGGTTCGCGACGTCAGGGGTGCCCAAACCTTGTTATTCCAGTGGGACGCTTGGGATTTCTGGAGTGCTGATCCGAGAAACCTTGTTATTTCATTGGAATGTTTGGGATTCATGGGGTTTTCTTTTCTCCGACAAAAATCGGCCCTGGACCACCTGAGGGCTCCGAACCCCAAGCATCGCAGTGAATTCACTGGATTCGCAACATCAGGGAAGCCCAAACCTTGTTCATTCACTGGCATGCTTGGGATTCGTGGGGTGCCTGTCTGGGTTTCAGAACGTTTGGGGGTGTCCACGGTCGTTTGTTTGTCGCAGGGAATCCCAAGCATCCCAGTGAACAAATTATCCATGCGAAGGACCCAACCATATGGTGTTGTGACTACCGCAGCTGTGAGTATCGTCTTCGGTGGCGCTCCCTATGGGGCCGCGAACCACTTGAGTGGGGTGCCTAAATGGGTGAGGGGGGGACGGACGCATGCTAAGTGTGCCGCTGAGGCCTTCGGTGGAGCTCCCTAAGGGGCCACGAAACGTGGAAGGGGTGTGCCGAAATGACGGGCGGGGACGCATGCAAACACAGCCATTGGGGTCTTCGATGGAGCTCCTTGTGGGGCCACGAAGCGTGTGAGGGGTGTGCCGAATTTGGTGTGGTGGGTGGGTGGGGGGGCATGCGAACATCGCCATTGTGGCCTTTGGTGGAGCTCCCTATGGAGCCACGAAGCGTGTTAGGGGTGTGCTGACATGGGTGGCTGGGCGCATGTGGACACGGCCATTGGGGCCTTCGGTGGAGCCTCCTATGGGGGCACAGAACGTGTGAGGGATGTGCAGAAATGAGAGTGTGTGTGTGTGTGTGCGTGTGTGTGTGTGCGCGCGTGTGTGTGTGTGTGTGTGTGTGTGTGTGTGTCTGTGTCTGTGTCTGTGTCTGTGTCTGTGTCTGTGTCTGTGTCTGTGTGTGTGTGTGTGTGTGTGTGTGTGTGTGTGTGTGTGTGTGTGTGTGTGTGTGTGTGTGGGGGGCGCAAGCGGACACCGCCATTGGGGCCTTCGGTGGAGCTCCCCATGGAGGCAAGAAGCGTGAGGGGTGTGCCGAAGTGGGTGGCGCGGACGCATGCGAACACCGCCAGTGGGCCTTCTGTGGAGCTCCTTGTGGGGCCACGAAGCGTGTGAGGGGTGTGCCAACATGGTAGACCGATGCGGAGGGCAGAGGCACGCCTGGGAGGAGGGCGGGAGGAGGAAATACTGAAGGAAGGACGGCACGAAGGAATGACGGAACGAAGTACAACAGGAAGGACTAATCGTGTGGCATTGTCTCTTCAAAACGAGGACCCAACACCACATGATTATTTGGGGAAAGACGAGGCGCTTGGGATTAGCGTCCCAGAATCACACGCATCCGAGTGACATCACATGGTTCGGACACCCCTGACGTTGCGAACCCTGCGAATTCACTGCGACGCTTGGGATTCGGAGCCCTGGGGTGGTCTGGGGCAGTTTTTTGTCGGAGGGGGGGAATTCGCAGGAATTCGCTCATCCCACTGGGATATCAGGGCTTCTGGGGTTGGCAGCCCACAACTTCCACGCATCCCAGTGAAACCATATGGTTTGGAGAACCCTGACGTCGCGAACCCTGTGAATTCACTGGGGTGCTTGGGGCTCGGAGTCCGGTGGGGCTGCAGGGAGAATTTCGTCGGGGGATCCTAGGATTTCCACGCATCCCAGTGCAACAACAAGGTTCTAGGAGTAGCACCCCAGAAATCTTAAGCATCCAGTAACCAAACAAACATGGCTTGGTCTTCCCTGGCGTCGCGAACCCTGTGAATTCACTGGGATGCCTGGGATTCGGAGCCCTGGGGGGCTCCATATTGTTTCTTGTTTGTCGGTGGGCGGGGAATTCTTGAAATCCTAAGCATCCCAGTGACATCATATGGTTTCTGGGAGTTGCACCCAGCAATCCCAATTATCCCAGAGAAATCATTGGTCGTTATCAGCTTCTACAGTGCGCTGCTGTTGAGCGTTGGCCAGCCGAATAGCTAGACCGCAACAAACGGTGGCAGCAGACCTCTGGGGACTCTGTGAGCGAGGAGAGGGAAGGAGAGGAGATGAAGAGAAGGACAATGCAATGAATTGGGTAGTCCAATTTAGTCAAGCGAAATATTGCGACTCATGGTGTATTTCTATATCGTATACACACAATTGTGTATGTATGCTGGTATTTATTGTTGTATGTGTGTACGTGTGTACTGTATACGTGTATATATACATATCGATATATAGGTATTCCGCTGCGCTTATCCTTTCTCTGACCATTCAGCGTGACACCAATCCTACGTAGCTTGTGCATGACTAGGTGAAGGTGCCCAGAGGACGAGAAACCTCGTCTTTCCCTCCGCAGTGGTGCCGAGGCGCAAATCACACGAAGCCTGCGCATTCCTCAGCTTGGGCCCCCCTGTGCGTCCGCCGCTCCGCCGCTCCACCATGCTGCTGCTGCTGCTGACGTCTCTGCCCTCCTCGCTCCGCATTGCCTTCCTTCGCGCGCGATCTCTGCGCCGTTGTTCCCGGCGATAGTGATTCATGTGTGTCCGTCGGTAGATTGTGTTTCCATCCTCTCCACCCTCGTTGTCGCCCTTCCTCATCTTGCTCCGCCTCGTTCTTCTGTCTTGGCGCATCGCCCGCGGACCTGCGGCCGTAGCGCTCGCGCGGTGACTTCTCACGAAGTGTGTATGGGTGGCCCGAACGTGCTTCTCTTGCGGCAAGTTCACCTCGGCCGTTGGAAGGCGGGAGTGCTTCCAGCAGCTGGAGCTGAGTTGGAGAGCTTCCGACGAGCAGTGCGAACATCCTGGCGGTACTCTTGTGGTCAGAAGTCGGAAATTTGAGCATATACATTATCAGTGGCGGGCTGCTTTTCAATCCCAAGACATTTTGAGGGTCGGCGACGACGTCGGGGTGATGTGGTGCATACTTGTTTCCCCGTTTTTCCACGGGCACGAAAGAAACATATTTACGCCCAAACCCCGTATGCACCAGGATCCGCTTCCCTGTGCGAGTTTCGGTGCGGGGCCGGAAGCAGCGTCAGGTGCGCAGAGTTCGGCTCCTTAA